AGAGTACACAGTATGGTGTGAGAGGCAGAGCCACAAGTGAGGCTAGAAAATAGACTGGGGGAAATTGATGAAGGAGCTTATATACTACATAGAGATTTTAGACATTATTCTTAGTCAATCAGAAGCCATCAAAGGTTTATAAATAGAAAAGTCAGCTCTTTGTTTTAGATCAGTGGTTCTCAAAGTATGATTCATGGAACTGGAAAGTAACAACTAATTTCATAATAAATGTTAAGACATTTGCCTTTTTAACTTGTTGACATAAACTCAACCCCAAGAGTAAGGGCTCCCTTAAATTTTGTACCCCGAGGACCTGACATGCCTCACAGGAGTCCCAGTCCTGCAAAGTTGGGCTGATGGTACAAAATCAATGGTTGGCAAAACTGCTGACACTTTAGCATGAGTCAAGGCAGTGACACCAAACTGTACTAGTAACCACTGGTTTCCTTACCCTCTCCCTAGTAAACAAGGCAACCAAGTATGATGGTTGTCTCCAGAATAAGCAATTGTTTTTTGAGCTGAAATGATCTTTTTTTTTTCATGAAGCATCACTTTTACTGGAAAGAGCCATCAAGAGACAAACTTATGATTATTCAGGATAACTGGCAGACATTTTCTCAAAGTTGAACAAAGTGGGTCTGTCAAATTCAAGGAAGAAAAAACAGTATTTGTTGCTAAGGATAAAATTTGTGCTTTTAAGTATATATCAGAATTTTGAAAAACCTGTAAGTATTACTGTGAGCCTAATAATTTCCCAATATTTAAAGGCTTTTCTGAGAGACTGGCAGTGATATTAACAAATGTGATTTTTTTTTCCTTTGGCGGGGAGGGTATAGCTGAGTGTTAGAGTGTGTGCTTAGCATGCACAAGGTCCTAGATTCAATTCCCAGTACCTCCATTAAAAAAGCAAATAAATAAACCTAATTACCTCCCCACCAAATCAGGATGCCAACACCATTAGGTTCTGGTGAGAGCTTCTTGAGGACAGATTTATGTCATATTCATCTTAATATGCCTTATTCTTATGAGTTCTGTAATTATTTTATGAAACAGGAGAAAGGAGAAGGGGAAAGAAAGTTACCATTACTGCTTCCTGTACTCTTGAATGGCTGCCAACCCCATCCCTACTATTCCTGGTCAACACCCACGCATGCTTCAGGGCTCAGTTTAAACAGTTCTTTCTCAGAGGCTTTCCCTGCCTGCCCCTAAAAAGTGCCAGCAATTGCACCCAGGTAGTATTTTTCTAATAAACTAATACAACTCTAGTGATTAGTTTTATTGAACAAATGAGACATTATACATTCTATGGAATTAACTCATTTGTATTATTACTGTATGATTATTTCCTATAGCAAATGAAAGGAACAATAATCCAAAAATGTCATCTCTATTTGGCTTTGAAATTTTTACTTTCCTAACTGTGTATCATTAGTAAAATTTACTTCGTAGTAGTAGATACATATAGAGGAATAGTTACAATTTTAGTATGACAATAGAATATTCATATATGAATAACTGAAATTTTGATGTTTTTGTAAATATATTGAAAGAAAACGTATTTTTCCTAACTTTGCTCTCTTGGCAGAGATGGAGAATTGTCTCCGTTCTCTCCTTTATTAGTAACAAGATCCCCTTATCACCTGGGCATATGTACATTGAGAAGATGATTACACTTCCTAGCCTCCGTACAGCTAGTTCTGGCCACTTGACAAAGATGTGACCAGTAGGTAGTAAGTTGAAATAGTATATAACACTTTTGGTAAGTGTCCTTGGTGGCTCTGGGGTGGGGTATAGGGAAAGGATGCCTTTCTCCTGGCCTATTTTTTTTCTTACTGACTGGAATGTGGATAGGATGGCTGAAGCCAGAGCAACTATCTTGGATCACAAGGAAAACTGCACTGGAGATGGCAGGCTAACGAAACAGAAGGAGTCTAGGTCTCTGATGATCATTGCTCTCCGTATCAGCCATGAATTACCTATATTTGTAAGAAAGGCAAACTTCTGTCTACTATTGTGAGTTTTCTATCTGCCACAGTAAACACAATCTTAACTATACAGCTCTGAAAACACATTGAATAAGTAGTAGTCACCTGACAAATTCTGTCTGTTGGTTTCACTTTCTTTGCTGCTGGAAGGAGAACCTGGGTCTGAAATGCTGCTTTCTGTTCCTCCCATCAATGGTCGCAAATGGTTTACAGATACTTGCTCAATAAAAGATGTGCCATGCTTATGGAAGTACCACCATTCAAATATCTGTGACAAACAGAAAACATCTTTCATTTAAAATAGAACTGATCAGCAGATATGAGCTCAAATCAAAACATTCTCTCAAGATGCTCCTATTTAATTCAGCACTTTAAATGTGCTCTCCTTCTGAAACAATAAGCTAAACACAGGATGCCCTGACAACACATGCTGAGCCAAGGTAAAAATACCTTTTTGTACTTTTGTAATGAAATTCAGACAAGCTGAGGCAACACTAGAAGAAATATGTTTATAAATAAAGCAATTAAAAACAATAAGAAGTGTTTAATCTATAAATAATGTTAACTGCCATGTTACATTATAATTTTTTTCCTATCTGCAGCATAATAAAAAGAAAAACAAATTCGAAACAACTAGCACTGTGGAGTAAGTGGTGGATTAAGTATTAGACTAGGGTTAGAATGCCCACATTTGACTCCCAGTTCAGCCATATATTAGCTAGGTGCTTTGGGCAAGTCACTTAACTTCTAACCTCTCAGAACTTCGATGTCCTATCTATTAAATATGATTAACAAGAATTGCAAATACTTTTGAAAATAAAGTACTACTTTAGTATTTGGCAGTATTATTAATGTAGGTTAAAAGTCAGGTTGATTCCCACATTGAACCACTTAAAAATCAGGATATTCACTTCTTCCTGTTTCCATGATTTATCATTGTTCTAAAAAGAGGAATCAAAAGCAGCTCTCTGTGTTGAATTAGCAGAATGTTTCATATTTGGATACTCCAGCCTTTTCAACTCCCTTTGACTAGCTCCTTAAGATTTCAGCGTAAATGACATATCCGTAGGGAACTTTCCCTGATTCCACAAAATAGAAAGTTGTGTTATGCATACCCACTGGATCCTGTGTTTTCCTTTCAAATAATCTTTTCACTTATAATACTTAGTTAAACAACTGGCTTTGTTGCTATTCTTCAAGCTCCCAAGCACACTACCTGTTCAGATAGAAGTAAGACAGCAGCACAGTTCGCTTCCTCTTTTCAGGTGGTAAAAGAAATTACAAATGTAATAAAATTTGCTAATAAAAATTCATCAATATTTCAAAGGTAATGACGGAGTTTAACCTTTAGACTGCTACTTGAATTTCCTAATTTTTGTACATTTAAAACTGGTTTAAAAAATGTAACGACAAATTTTAAAAACTGTTTTACATATTATATATATAAGTTACATACTATTGTATCCCCACCCTATATAATATATATAAATTCCCCCTCCCTTATAAATGAGGAAAGTAAGACTCAGAATTTATGTGATTTGGCCAAAGTTATCAGGTAGTAGGTGGCAGAGTCAATACTCAAAACTACATCTTCTGATTTCAAGACCAATGCTTTTTCTATTACATCAGCTATTTAAAGATAGCTATCTTCTTTATTTGGATTTTTATTGGCAAAATGTGCTATGAGTAAGCTTTATAAGTCAATAAATTTTGAGGCTTTTAATAAAAGTTTTCACCCAGAATTCCTCCATCATTTTTTTTTTTAAGTCAAGAGAAAAACCCCTTTCTTATCTGGCACTTCACTTTAACAAAACGGTCAAGTAGTCATCCCTATTTAAAAAAAAACAACACTCCAATACAAATGCCATTATTTGTACATTTCTACTATAGTTATAGAGCACCACCTAGAGATGAGAAAAAAATACAGAAAAATTTTATTGGCCATGCATGCCATAATACTTCCTAAGATTTTTATCTGTAGCAGTGTTTTTCCAAAGTTTATAGCAGGAAACACTAGTTCCTAGGTATGTTAATAGAGATTACAAAGTTTTAAAAAAAATCTTTTTATATTAAAAATGAGAGCTTGGTTAAATAATGCAAGGAAAAGCTGAATTAAAGTTAAATGGGTTTCTTTATTGTGGGACTTCTTAGAATAATGTGCCCAAAATTCATTAAGTGCTACCATGTTGTTGCAAGCTTTCACACACAATATCTCATTTAGTCTTCAAAACTCTATGAAGTTGATACTATTATTATTCCCAATGTACAGATGAGGAAATTGGAGCTTAGAAAAGTCAGTTAACTTGCTCGAAGTCACATAATTAAAGTCATGGTTAGTCCAGCTCCAAAACCCTGCTCAAGACATAGATTAATTCTCAGTCTGCTCAACGTTGCTAACATTAAAGTATTAGAAGATTTTATATATAAAAACTTGTATATCCAGGCTCTCTTGAAATCATTTGAAAAATTGTAAGATCTGGTAACATCAGTCTGCAAGTCGACATGATAAGAATTAGTTTTAGCCTCTTCTAGAAGGAGCATGCACTGTTCAGATTACCCAGTCTTCAAAGTAAATACATTTAATTCTTACACTCTGCCCATTTCACTAATTTTGTTACCAAGCCTGCAAGCATTTAGTTCACAACCCATCTCCCACTCCCCGCATCCCCCACAACATACTGTAGTCTTTTATATCCAAATGAATACTGCCAATCTCTAACAGTGGAGGGGGAGTTTCAGTGTTTTTTCAAATGCTAAACACATTTCAAGAATGCTTATCTCTAAGTATTTATAATTATTTTATTAACCATATAAATAGATTTGATTTTTAAATACCAAAGCATGAAGGAAATGGAAACTACTTACAAATATTAGTCCTGATATCAAAGAAGATGTTCCTGTAAGTGCCACATAAAATTTGGGTGTCAATGAATTTAAAAATACTGTCACTGTCAAAAAGAAGAAAAAGAAAATCAAAGTTTAAAAAACGAAGTAGTCAAACTATAAATACGCAAGTGTCTTTAAGAGTGGGGTTACATAAATTAATACCTAGAATGAGATTCATTTGAGAAAGTTGTAATATTTAAAAAGCTACTTTAAATTCCCATTGTATCATATCTTAAAAATGCCTTCACACATATTAAGGGTAGAATTTTACACTGCTGATTTGTTAAATAAACAAATCAAAATGAGAAAATTTGGCTTGCTTTTGAAAATAAAACCAATAAAATATAAATCATAATTTCACAAGAACATTTGCAATTCCATAAGGATGAGCTAGACAAATATCCTGTTACAAAGGAAGTTTAAAACTGCTCCCTAATTATTTTTCTGAGATTCAAACCAGTGTTTCAAATTAGAGGGAAGGAAAACAGTGTATTTGGTATGTCAGCTAGAGAGGCAAAACAGCCCAAAGAGAATAGGAACAACTAAGAGCTCCTTGTATCTGACTCACTGAAAACCTGGACCAGATTCCTCACTTCAAATAACTGTCTCATAAATTCTTTAGGTTTCAGAAAGAAATAAAAATCTGTAAACAGCTGCTGTCATCTAAATGGTGTATCTAGTTAACATGGAGAAAGATAAATGATAAACTCAATGAATAACATTTTACTGAGCGTACAAACCACTAGTAAGCACTTCATTAACCTGTAACAGAAACACCAAATTAGCTTTTTCAAACAGTAAAAGAAGGCCAATTTATTTAGCTTGTTTTAGTGTGTTAGCTGTATCTGAATTTACAAACTATGTTCTAAAAAAGTTCAAAACATTTCAGAACATTATCTCACAGCCTTCCATGTCATCTCATGGAATAGAAACGAGGGCATTTGTTTTCTCTTGCTACAGAAAAATAAACCACAGTACTGACAGTCACAATCATCACATAACAGAAACGCTTCCATCGTAATCTGAGGTTGTCAATTTGTAAAGACCTAGTTAGAGGCCCTAGCTCCCATTCACTTTATCCTGCCGACAGCTAAAGGATATTATTTGCAGAATCTAAGGGGATCATCACCTCTTAAACACCTTTGTATCTTCAAGCCACACTACACAGCAAGCTCTCTACAAATGCTGAAAACGAACTAGGGAAAGAACTCATTGCTGTTTGTAGCTCGTTCTCTTTACTTCCTGAACTGTTACATTTTAATGAGCAACAAATAATCTACTCAAGATAAGGCTTAAAACACAGAACGAACAAAAATATACCTAAAACTATTTCTTGCCAGAACTATTTTAAAGCATGAGAATGGTTGGTTAAGATCGTGGTGTTTTCCTTCATTCAGATCTTTGTTGTCTGGGTGTGGATTCTCTCAGCTGAGCAGGGGAGAATGAGAGTAATTATTTTCAAGGGATCCTACCAATGGTGGGGGTGTATATAAATATTGCATCCACGTCAGAAAATGTTCTCATCTGTCCTACCACCTGAAGCTTGTCAGGTGGCTTTTCCTCCGGTAAACGAGGACAGAAGAGAGAGGGCGGATCTTAAGAGATCTAGGGAGGAGCCGGTAACTGCAGCTCAGGTTTGACAATCAGCTGCGGAGTAGTGACCCAAGACAAAAAGAACCCAGTCGGTGCGCACACCGACAGCTTCTCCGAAGCCCTCCAGTGACTACCGAGAATCTCTGCCACTTGGCCCTTGCCCCCGGCACCGCTCCTCGCACGTCCCCCTCCCACTCCCGTCCCCAGGGAGCTCTGGGCCTCTCACCCGCTGCCAAATTCTCACACAGCCTCAGCGGGACCCTCAGAGCGTAAAGCAGCCCCAACCCGGCCACGAACCACAGCGAGGCCCCAGTGCCGGCCAGCCCGGCCCGCAGGCGCTCCCTCCAGCCCAGCGGCGGGCTCATGCCGGGAGCTGGTGCTGTAGGAGACGCCGCAGCAGTCGCTGCTTCACCTAAGCCGTCACCATCCGCCATCTTGCCGCTCCCCCAGGCGCCGGGAGTTGGGAGGGGAGAAGAGCAGGAAACCGGGAGTCGGGAATCCTGGGATAGTGGCGGACCTGAAGTTGGCCTCGGGGAAGGCTGAGCGCCCCAGGGAACAGGGACCGAGAAGATTTGGAAGGTGGAGGAGCGTCCCAGGACTCGGGGCTACCTGTTCCTTTCGAGGGCGGGAAGGGGCGAATAGCGGCACCTATTTTGGAAGAACTGGACTGAGATGTGACCCCAGAGTGTTCTGGCCTCCATACGAGTAAGGGTCACCTTTCACCCCATTCCTGGGCTGGAAAAAGCGGCCAACCATTCCGTAATCCAAGCAGCAGTTAGCCCTTTGGACTCGACTGCCATGGAGAGCAGTGGTGCTGGGAAAGTCTATAGAAGTAGCAACTGCAATTTGGTCGGTTGGAGCTCGGGCTTCAATACCAGTCGAAACACGCTCCCAGCGTCCCAAAGATGGAAGGGGAAATGGATATAACTCAATGAGGAAGATACTAGATTTAAAATTATTACGGCAAGCCGACTTCCTGCGGCACGGGCAGCCGGAGCCATCGACCCCGCCCGAAACTGATATGGCGCCCCCGCGGTCGGCGTTTCCGGGCGGGTCCTTCCGATGGTCCTCGCGGTGATTCCATCACTCGGCTTCCTTCCCGGCCTGCCTCGCGCCTGGGCCGGGCTGGGCCAGAGCAGCCCAAGATGGCCGACTTCGAGGATCGGGTGTCGGATGAGGAGAAGGTAAGGGGTCCGCCTCTCTCTCTTACCTCTTCCCGCGACTAGGAACAGGGGCCCGCCCTAGCTGCGGTGGGGACCCTGGCAGTACCCCCAGCAGAATGAAGCTTCTTGGCTCGTGCTGGCATACGCTCTCCGCAGTCGGGACGCTTCCCTCTTTAAGGGCTGTCCTCTGCCTCACGGTGGCCCCAGTTCCCCATTCCTCAACTCTTTTCCTCCACACAGCCCCGTGGCCTTCCTGCGAGAGAGGAGACTTTACTTTTTTGAATTGTGACTGGATTCTTGTAATTAAGAGAGGGGGCAATGATGATGTCGCGACGTATCAAGAAGCAGTTATTTTACCGCCAGTAGCTCTTGGGGCTCACCCCATCCCCCCATTTTTAGAAATGATTGAGGCTAGTCTAGGGCGAGTCACTTCCTGGTCAGGGTGGCCTCTTAACTTCCCTTTTGCTCCTCCTTCCTCAGGAAGTGCTTTTGCTGTCACGACTCCTCGACAGGGCGAGGTCCCTAATGTGTTGGCCGCTTTTCCACACACACCTCTTTGCCCACATACTGGGGGCTGAAGTAATTAGCAATAGTAAATGTGTAAGCCTTAGCACTTTTTCTTCAGAATTTCAATACCACTCTATTCCCTGTAGACAATCCCTTAATTGTATGTGTACGGTCCCCCCGGTGACGCCCTCCCTTGCGTCTTAAATCCTCTTAACGATAATTTTTGAAAAATAGTTTTAGATTGCTGTTGACAGACAGGAATAGCCAAGGAATATTTTTCTTTTTAACGCCACAAAGGTTTTATATAGCACATAAGCCTCATGTTAACACTTTGGAGTCTGGACAAAACATCCTGGCTTCTTTGATGCTCCACTGTGGTGTCTTTGATTATAGTTGAATTCGTCAGTGGGTAATTTGTATATTTGTTTCTTAAAAAGTGTTTTAAGTACAATAGAATATTCTACCTTAGGGGGAATAATTTTTTTTTCCTGACGACTGCACAGCTTTCTTAACAGTCTGTCAGGATTTTCAGTAAATGTGTTAAAGATTTTATATCCTGTAGAAATTACAGTGATTTCACTACATAACTCATACTAGGTCAAGAATTACGTTTTTTTGTTTCCCACAGTGTGATATGCACCCTTGAATGCTCTGTAAATGTGTCTGGGTTCTTTCCTTTTTTAATAAAAGAGATTGGGATGGTGGAAGGGAGTTTATGGTCCAAGAATTCTCTGTACAGAATAATTTGATATATCATACTTACATATGCTATGCCATTTTGAAATGCTGAAGAATGTGCAAAACAGTCACAAGCCATTGAACAACACTTCAGAATTAGGTTTTCTCTTGCTTGGAAATTGATTCGTATATATGTATAAATGTATAACAGGCATATTATATTGCATGTGAACTTATGCTGGAGAGAAAACTATAATTAAATGTTTATTCTAAGGCAAACAGTTATGATTTGGATGAAATTAAATTACAGTGAAAATCATGGGATAACAAAACATCTATAAGCCCAACTGATAGTCCACTTACTTTAAGCAAAAATACTGTTAACACAAAATTTCACTAAGAATTAAGGTAACAATAAACTTCGAAGTTTATTGTGCCTAAGTGATACTACATTTACCAGTGTTGAGTTTTTGTCTTTGACACAGTGTTAGAATGCCTTTTTAATTAAACTTGGGGAAAATATGTATTTCAAAGTGCAAATTAAGGTGTCCTCAGATATTGACAGTGTTAGTAATACTAATAGCCTTGATTTTATAACAGCAGATCTGTGACCAGTTTTATCTCCCAACATACTTTTGTCACTTAATTTTAGTTATGACATAGCAAGCAAATCATAATTAGCAAGGTAGATTACTGACTAAAGATGTTGATGAATTTCATATTCAGTAAACAGCTTTTAGATTAACTATGTTGTCTTCATTAGTATAGATAATTAAGAATAGCTGATATAATAAAAATCTCATGATGAGAGGGTATAGCTTAAGTGGTAGAGTGCATGCAAATAAATAAGTAAACCTGATTACCTCCCCCTACCAAAAATAAAAGAAAAAGACAATAAAGAAAATAAAGAAAAAAATCTTATGATAAAGTCATATGATTTGAGATTACAGAAATTTTGTTAGATTTTTATTCTCAGAGATCAGTTGATCTGTATTTCTCTGTTGCGGATCTGTAAGTAAAAAGAAACGATTTTAACTTGGAAGATTACTTCAGTTCTCCTTCAACTTTATGCTTACCTTGCCCTCTTTTCCTCCAAGCTCCTGATGCCTTTTAACTAAATTCAAGAATTAAAAATATTTTTCCAAAAAGTTATTGATATGAATATCTTAGCATTCGTAAATAGTAAGTAACCCTTAAGTGAGATTCTTGTACAAAACTTTAACAACCAAGGCACTATTATAAACAGGATATTTTCAGCCTTAGTTTGTATTGATTCTTCCTTGAAGGAACTTTTCATTTTTTTCTTTTAACTAAGACCTCAGTTGCATTTGATTTGTTTTAACGCACGTGTGTCATAACGCCAAATATATTTTAATACTGCTTTTCACGTTGTATTTTCTGAAAGCAGTGAACCTAGAGGCGCATTTTGTGGTGATGGTCTAAGATTTCCTTGCAAGTATTTCCATAGAAGCTAGTAATACCAACCATTCTCATAACTAATTGCTGAAAGTTTTTATCACTTTATACAGAGAGGAAGTTGGGTTTTTTAACTTCTGCATTGTTACCTGAAATGGTCATGATGAGCTGCCTAAATAAAACAGGAAGTTGAAAGTATAATAATATGCAGAAATAAATGCTTTTTAGTCTTATCCTCGAGTTCAGTTTCTGAGAATGAGCTCTAGTCCCCTAGTTACTTAGATTCTTCAGTTACTTAGTTCCAAATCCTTAAAGAGACCAAAAATGACAAGATGCCATAATTAGGAAACTTGAGGTATCAGCTGAAGTACTGGTTTTGGTTCTTTGCGCCGATTGTTTCCTTTATTTCATGGTTCAGCATTTTTAAAATGAGTAAATGCAGACAGAACTTTAGAGCTAAAAAGGGGACTATTAGCATATTTTTCCCTTTCAGCCTAACTAGTAGAATGTTTGTGTACAACTTCAAAAATACCGTAACTGAAAAATAGATCTGTATGCTTTCAGTTTAGACAATATTGTCTTTAAGGCACTTTTTGAGAAATGGCTTTATCAAAATTATCTAGGAGAGATGCAGAAAATTTTGTACATAGATGCAGAAATTTGAAGGCTCTGTTAGAGCTTATGAAAAATATTTATGCTTTTAAACTGGATTTCCTTGATTATGCATTACCTTCTTAATTTACTAGGTGAGTTATTACCTTTATTGGGTCAAGTAAATCCTAAAGCTTAATTGCCATGGTGGCTTTTTAACAAGTCATTTATTGGAATTAATACTGCCATTTTTTAAATCTTTCCTTTTCAGTTAGCTTTGCTGAGTAGTAGTCATTTCATCTGTTACATAATCCTTGGACAGGAGCATAAAGCCTTAGCAGATACAAATTCAGATGCCCAATCTTTGCTGAAGAATGTAGGTTTATTATAATTTCTTCTTCAATAGCTGCCTATTGTGTTAGAGTCATCCTTAATGCTAAGCAGAGCAGTGTGATTTGTCAAAAAAATTCAGATCCTAGGTTTGTCTGATTCGAAAGCCATGCTTTTTTCACTAAACTATTTTTTCCATGTTACCATGAATGAAAAAGAAATCAGAATAGAGTCATCATTTAATGAATTATAAATGAGGTATTGTGATATAGTGGGAAAGAGTGTCAGGTGATTTACCATCTCCTTGTGCTTTTAGCCACCACTGTGATTTTGGAAAAATTACTTACCTTTGTGGGCCTCAAAAATTGTCTTCTAAAAATAGATAAGGGAAATTGCATCAAACTGACTCAACAAAGTTTGATGAACTTTTCGAACTCTTAATTTTAAAATAAACAAACAAACAAAAAACCTCTATTTAAAAAATTGAAGCATTACAGTGTTCCAGGAGTTTCTGTCACTGCTTTGGCATGTTTGCCCTGATAACAAAACTATGAAATCCTTGGTAACTGCAATGGTATCTTTTTATCTAGTGCCTAGCATAGCACCAGGTACATAGTGTGGGCATTAGCTATAGGTATGAAAGAGACCGGTCAATCACAGTTTCATACATTGTCACATTTCCCCAGCTCGCGCTCCATCCTTCCCCCTCCCCCAATTATTTCTGGTTATCTGTAGGTATTTCCTGTATTCAGGAATGTGTCCATACTCTGAGT